TTCTCCATGCATGGAGTGACACAGTAATCCCATTTCAATAAAATGGGGTAGCAGTCACAGACTAGCCCATTGCTAGTGCTCTTATTTGATCTCTTTTCATTTTTCTTTCATTGCTTACTGGAACTTATAATGGCATGCTACATTTCCAAAGAGAAGCAGTTAAGAAAAAGGAAAATTAAACTTACTACAATTCAATAGAAGGAAATAGCAAATTCATAGACAAAATAATATAAAGCAATCCTGTTAATGAAAGTAAAAATAGATGCAATAAGCAATAAATCCCCATATGTGTGAAATCAACAACTCTGCTCTACAATAAGCCTTCTTTTATGTGTATAGTTTTCTTGCCAGCAAATAATAACTTCACCAGGCATGATGGTACATGCCTATAATCCCAGCACTCAGGAGGCTCAAGCAAGAGAATCCTGGCTTTGAAGCCAGACTGGGCTATATACCTAGACTCTGTCTCAAAAATCTAAGGGCTGGAGGTATAGATCCATGGTAGTGTACTTGACTAATATGTGCAAGTTCTACTGCCAGGACAACTAAAGGGAATAATAAATGTGGCACTTCATATATAAGCCAATAGCCAATAACTAACTTGAAGACAGCTTTAGAAATTTCAGGAATAAATACCTTTAGAGGAGACAATAAATACACATAGGATGGCCCAAACCAGTATGTTTGGCTTTCATCTCAGTGACTTACATTCATGTTATTACCTTATACATTTTTTAAACACCTTTTTTTGTATTCTCTTTGTAAAGCAGAAAGGTTCATTTCTGCAGCATGTGTGTTGATAGCAGATGTGGGGCTGGAGGTGGTGTGAATACAGGAGGAAGGAGACAGGCTCTGGCTTCAGGAGTAAGATCCTTCTGTCTGACTTTCCAGGTGATAAAGTGCAAAGCAGCTGTGTTGTGGGACCTCAACAAACCCTTCTCCATTGAGGAGGTGGAAGTTGCACCTCCAAAGGCCCATGAAGTCCGTATTAAGGTAAAACTGCCTTTTATCGATTTTTGTTGATTTGTAGAAAATTGAAAATAGAAACAACCAAGAATCTGTTCAGAGGTACTTCCTATATGGTTATCCAGACAATGAATAATAGTTGTTTCTCAAGCAAACTACAAATATATAAATTATTTTTAAAGTGACCTAATAGTATATACTGTATAATCCCAGTAAATGCCTAAAAAATTATATATACATATATGGAGATGGGTATCAGTGGCTCACACCTGTAATCCTAGCTACTTAGGAAGCTAGATCCAAAGATTGCAGTTTGAAGTGAGCCCAGGAAAATACTTATCTAAGACTGTTACCTCCAATTAGCTAACAAAAAGCCAGAAAATAGGGCATAGTTCAAGTGGTAGAGGCCCAGTCCCAAGAAGGAAAACCTAAGTGAAAGTTAGAGACCCTGAGTTTAATCCAGAACTGGCACCAATAATAAATAAATAAATAAATATGTGTGTACAAGATTGTAAAAGGCTATATAACATTTTCTTAGTGTTAATCTGCAATCTTTACTTCCATAAAAAAGTAGGAATTCTTTTTTTATTTTTGTACTTTATTCATTTTTTATTAACATTAAGTAGTTGTACAAAGGGGTTATAGTGCCATAAGCATTCTAGTATATACCTAAAACAAGTATTTCAGAACCAGTTCTTTCTCACAATCAAATAGTCCAAAATGTTAAATTCAGGAAAGGAAAATTTTGGATACTCTTCAGAGTAAACTAAATCTTTTGCATTTGAAACAGGTAGGGATAGTCATCAAAAACTCTCTAAAAGCCTTTCCTAAAATTTGGTATGTTAAATCCGGTCCAGAGTCATAATCTTCTGAGAGCCACAACTTTTCTTTTTTTTTTTTTTACTTTATTTTTACTTTTTTACTTTTTTCTTCTCTTTCTTTAATTTTTACTAATGTATTCTCCCAATTCAATCTGGGCTACCACAAAGACAAACAGAAAGTGCAGGGATTATTTGCTTTTGCTTCCTCGTGCAAACCAAAAGAACAACAGCAAGCTGTTCAAGGTCTATCAGAAGATGCAGGCCACTACTTCTCTGGGTGTCATAATCTTCTCTTTAACTGGCAGATCGTGGCCACGGGAATCTGTCGCTCTGATGACCATGTGGTGAGCGGCAGCTTGCACACGCCTCTTCCTGCGATTCTAGGCCACGAGGCAGCTGGAATCGTGGAGAGCATTGGAGAAGGAGTGACTACAGTAAAACCAGGTGCAGAATTCACACCCAGCCTTTATGCTTTTTGATTCAGCATTCTAAGATCATCCAGCTCTGATGAGGGTACTGAGGCAAGGAGACATGCAGAAACTTGTAGAATGTCCTGGACAAGCTGAGACTGGAGGTTTCCCTCCTTCCCTTTTCTCCCTGCCTGACTCCCTGTCTGACTCTCAAGTTGCTGTTTTCCTTTCAAAGCTATTGTAGTGATGCTAGGCATCAGGTTAGAGACCTAGTACCTGCCAGAGTGGAGTCAATCATGTAATGACTCACAAGATGATAGACCACATAGAACCACAAATGGGTCAGGGGAGAAGATGGAATTCTAAGTCCCCCAGTGTCTAGATCAGAGCAGGGAAACCTGCAGCCAGTTCACAAAAATCAGGCCTGTGAAGCTATGACTAAGTCAACACGAGCTTTTCTTAGATGAGAATTGAAGCCTTTCCACCAATTTCCTCGGCCAAGAAAGCCTTCCCTCTTAAACAGAAGAGAAATTTTAAAAACTTCATGGAATGAACAGCAGAAAGTATCCAGACCTAAGCAACGCCATTTTTACTGCCTTTAGTTATGACCACAGATGACAAGTTATAAATTTCCTTTTTAACATTTATCTCTTGTTTATTGCATTTTACTATGCTTTCAGTACTGAGAGGTGAATAAGTAGAAGTTTTCCATCCATCACTCCCTCACAAACTTTATTTATAAGAAGTGATGAGCCAAACATTTTTCTTGTAAGAAAGGAAGCATAAATGATTACAAACAAAAATCATGCTTAATTGTATAACGATGAATTGGCCAATGGTCAGTCTCTCCCCTTTCCAAAGAATTAAACTGTGAACAGAAAATAAAAAACAGTCTAGTAAGAGTTTCAGCACTTAGTATTTCCTTTTGTTGGTAATAAATAATAAAACACCAGGATTACTTTTAAATTTTACTCTCTACATAGCAGAGAAAGTAAATAACTAACAAATTATCATATAAAGACATTTGGAATTCAGGTCTTATTCTAAGAGCAAACACCTAACTTATTATGAGGAGTTAAAAGTTTCAAAAGAATTTTATGAATTATTGCCCCACTATTATTAGTTTTTCTTTAAAAAAATTCACTCATGCTGGCCTGTAATCCTAGCTACTCTGGAGGCTGAGATCTGAGGATCACCATTCAAAGCCAGCCCAGGCAGGAAATTCCGTGAGACTCTTCCCTCCAATAAACCACCAGAAAACCAGAAGTGGAGCTGTGGCTCAAGTGGTAGAGTGCTTGCCTTGAGCTAAAGAGCCTGAGGGACAGCACCCAGGCCCAGAGTTCAAGCCCTAGGATGGACAAAAAACAAACACCTCATATTTTTATTTTAAAAAGCCAAAAATTGGTTATCAAAATTCTCATTTTTATTTTTATCCCTTGGCCAAATTAGCTTTATTTTTATTGTTAAAAAATGTGTATTATGGTTTTTTTTTAGTTTTCATTTAATTGCACCAGATTTCTCCCATAGCTAAGTGTAACTACAGCAACTTGCTTGCAACTACTATATATAATATATATACACTACATACACATATATATATATAATATATACTATATATACACTACACACACATATATATGTACTATATATACATTTATACTATATATACTATATATGGGTGGAGAGGATATATATGTGTGTGTGTTATAGATAGATAGGTAGGTAGGTACATAGGTAGGTAGATAGATGATAGATATGTAGATAGACAGACAGACAGACAGATAGATAGATAGATAGATAGATAGATAGATAGATAGATAGATAGACAGACAGACAGACAGGTAGATAGAGATAGATAGATAGATAGATAGATAGATAGATAGATAGATAGATAGATAGATAGATAGATAGATAGATAGATAGATGGATGATAGACAGATAGATGATAGATAGGTAGATAGACAGATAGGTAGGTAGACAGACAGACAGACAGACAGACAGATGGTTGATAGATCCTATTCTCGCTATGAGGTTTAAACTAAGGAATACGTAGAGCGCGTGAGAGCCCCAGGAGAAATCAGGGTGCGCAATAAAAAGGCGTCAATGCAGTGGAAACAAGCTTTCCGATGCGTGTTAGTTTCCATCTCTGCGTCACGTCTTTGGGACAGTGGCAGCAGCGCGCCTGCGGAGCGGCCCGGCCCGGCGCCTGCGGAGCGGCCCGGCCCGGCGCCTGCGGAGCGGCCCCCCGAGCGAGCCGCTGCTGCGCGAGGCCTTTGCCGCAGAAGCTTCGAAGTTGCTGTTCACCAACTCCGGGCTGCAAACAGAAGTGTGTTCCGCTCCCCCTGCAGGTGACAAGGTCATCCCGCTCTTCATTCCCCAGTGCGGATCGTGCAGGGTGTGTAAACACCCGGAGAGCAACTTCTGCCAGGCGGCCGAGTAGGTGTCCTGTCCGGGCGGGGCCGGCCCGGGGCCGGGGGGC